CTGTACAAAGGCGTCTATGTGCCTTCAAGTCTCCATCCGCCCGAGAGCCTCAGGTACTACGAGGAGTTTGCGTTTCGTCCGGATGACAAACTTATTGTAACGTACCCCAAGTCTGGTGAGTGATCGCGGTTCGACGGCAAATGGTTTCTTTTATGCTAACGAGGGGTTTGTTTTAGTAGTCTGGGAGAGGATTTTTCAACCTGTCGTTTTCTTATTATAAGCAGCAATTACACTATATAATCGTCCTGGCGTTGGTCTAACACGTCGTTTAAAACAAGGATTGCTCTTCGTTTCCATTTTATGCGACCACGTAAATGGTATGTATTTAGCATTAAATTTCATTGTGGGGTTTATTTTAAATGTGGGAACCTTGTTGGAAAGCTCTCATCCCCGACTGTCCGTTGAGTCTCCGGTAGAAACAGGTCTGTCAATGCTCGGCGTCTAAATATATGCAATTCACCCCAAACCTGAGAACCTCATTTCTCTGGATTTATGCCTAATGTCTTTGTGTTGACTACAGTCTATAGAAGCAATGTATGAGGGTTATAAAATACATAAATTACCTGTTTTATATTATATTTAGTATATTTATGACTCTGTGTTATTGTATAACTAGTCCAGTCATTTTAGTCCACTTAAAATATCTCTATAGAACTGTAGTGTTGTATTTGTAATTTCTGCTGCCCTGTTGGCAAGATCTCTTAAAAATAAATAAATAAATAAATAAATAAATAAATAAGTGATGTCAGTGAAAGCTGGATAAATGAAGGATCTGCCTCGTGATAGGAATGCTCCTAGCTCAAAATGACTGGATTTCATTCATGAAAGATGTGTTTGACACATGTTTTACAGATTAGAAGAAATTTGTTTATAACAATCATTTTCTGGGAAAGACTGGAAGTCACTTTTTTGGCACAACACTGGTTTTTAAACAGTCCTGTTACAAGCTAGCAGCTGCAGGCCCTTCTTAGCATAGTGACTCTGATCTTATCGAGAGAGCAGCGGAAGTGCCACAAATATGAAATGACAGGTCTTTAAAGAGATTTTAAGTGAGCAAAAAGGACTGGACTGATTCTAATACAGGTACAGTGGCACAGAGCAGCTGTACCTGTATTAGTGCATTATACCTGCAATATAACAATATACAAACCCCTCGTAAAAATATTTTCAGTACAGTCTATTTATCAAGATGAGCAATAACATAAAAAAATCACAGAATCACTTTTTGGCTGGTTTTTCTGAAGAGACTGGCCTTATATACCCTATATGAATGTGCTGCGTGGTACTAAGGCTCAAAAATGTCTTCTGGCACTTTTCTTTATGTTTTTATTAAAGGTGCTGTGTGAATGTATTTAGAGTGCTTGTGAGAATAGGTGAATGTTGTATGGAGTGCTTTGAGTAGAAACTCTATATAAGAATCAGTGTATTTACAACTTAAAATGTGATGTTCAGTACCAGGATGATGTTTTTTACTTGCAAAAACAGAGGAATACAAGTGAAGTTTTATTAGAGTTTGGACATATTCTCTACAAAGTATTTGTGAACACCAAAAACAATCAGCGGGTGATGGATGGATTTAAAAGGACAGACATGAAGTGGACTAGATCCCCATAGATCAGCTCTGTCTTAGACTGGGACTTTAGCTTGGATACAATGTAAAAAGTTAAATAAATACAGTGCTAACTGAAGAAAATGGATGGCTTATTGTGTTTTAGTTTAAGCTTTCTCATTATTACAAGAGAAGAATGCATATTTAGGGAACTGTGTACAACTGGTTCATTGTCAAGCCAGCATTCAGTTTCGCTTAAATGGCAAGACAGGTCTGAGCAGCACAAACGAAACTTTGTGCAGCACAAACCAGCACAGAAAGATCGGTCAAAAGACCTTTTAGTAACAGACTCGTGAGTAGAACATAAAATGCCCACAGACTGTCCGGACCATACGATGCACAATCACAAGGT